ACTCATTTTACAAAAGAGAAAACAGAAACACAAAGAGTCAGGTAACATGTCCAAGGCCATACAGCTAGTGTGTGGAAAAGTGTGTATATGAATTTTAGAGCCCATGATCTTAATTATAACACGGTTCCAATAGATCTTAAGCATTTGGAAAAGGGGAAGAAAAGTTCATATACAAAGATCAAGAATCAAAATAGCATCACACTCCTCAAAGTTACACTGGAATTTAGAAGATGATACTGCAATTCTTTCAAAACACTAAGGGGAAATTATTTCCAAAATGCCAGTCAAGTGGGAAGGTAGTAGAAAGGCATTTCAGGCATGCGAAGTAAGCCTCAAAGACATTGCCTTCCATGTACTTTCACAGAAAGCTACTGCAGGATGTGCTCCATCAAAACAAGAAAGTAAAGCAGGAAAAAGGAAGGCATAGGAATCAGGAAACAGGAGATCTGACACAACAGAGGCAAAGGGAGTTTGAAGGATTATGGCCCTACCACAGGCCCAAGCACCAGGCGAAACAGACTAGAGCAGGAAGATGTAAAATTCCAGCAAGAAAATCTCCAAGAAAATAAAGAGGCAGCTCATCCAATAGATTTGACCAAATGAAAAAAAAGTACCTAGAGACTGGAAGACAGAGAGTCTAAGAAATTCCAGCAAATGGGGGGTTGTGGGGGGAAGAGGCAATTAATAACTCCAGGAAATAAAGAAGTAAACTCCATTACACCACTTGGCTAAAACATATATATTCACAAAGCCAAAGCCATAATAATAAAACTAGTTTAAACAAAACTGTATTTCACATATATAGGGAAGACGGGAGACGTCAACATTTGGTGGCGATGTAATAACAATAAACATTTACCAAGTGCTTATTATAGTCAGTACTACTCTAAATGCTCTTTACATGTCTTAACTCTTTAATCCTCACAACAATCTCAGGAAGTAGGTGCCTTTATTATCCCCCATTTTACAGATGAGAAAACCAAGGTACAAGAGGTAAAGGAATTTGTCCACGGTCCCCCACTAATGAAAGGATGGGAGAGTCAGGGTTCAGATTCAGGCAGTTTGTGCAAAATCCTCACTCACCTTCCATAAAAGTCAATAGAAAAATCTCAAAAACTGAACTATAACTAGCAGTTGAAGCAAATTATTACTTAGAAATATGAATAGAAAGAGCCAAAAGACTTAAAACTGGGAACCAGGAATGGGGGGACATTAGGGGATTGCTGGTTTTCTTTAGAACCCTTCTAATGCTACTTGACTTTTTTAATGATGTATGACTTTTACTCGAAAGTTTATATTAAGCATAAAGCAGAACTGTACACTTTCAATGAGTAGATATTATGGCATGCAAAGTATCCTCAATAAAATTTACAAAAATTAAATTAGGAAAACCATTTAAAATGCACACACACTGATACACTACTACAGACTCATCAGAATGTATGTTACACCAAAAAGAGGAGAAATATAAAATAAAAATGACAAGTTCAGGTTGGGGCCCTGGAGTCTAAGGCACCCGGGGACCACCCAATTCCAGGGGCCCTGTGCACGGTCTGGACTAAGGCAAGAGGCCCACGAGCCAGGAGCTAATGGTCACTGTAATGACAGCAATCACTTTTGCTGTAACTTTTGCAGAAGGCTGTAATTTTGCTAGGCACCTGGCGTGTACTTGCTCATACAAACTTTACAACCACCAGATGAACTCAGTACCACTAATGGACCCATTTGATAGATGAGCAAATCAAGGCTTACAGAATCACCACATAGCCAGTAAACAGAAGAGCAAGAGCTAAATCCCAGCATTCTGACCTCAGCCTCCAGGCCGCCCTGCCCCATATGAAGCAGGAGGTTCTTTACCTGGAGCCAGCAGGCAGCATGGGAACCTCGGCTGACTCATGAAAGCCCAGAATGTATAAAACTGCTAGTGAGCGTGTGGAGAGGGTTTTTGGTTCCAGGCTGCGGGTCCATCACTTTCATCAGCTCATGAAGGAACCGCAGATGCAGGCAGTGGGTGCATTCATGTCCTGCAATGGTGGCAAGGAGCTTTGGTGGTTCCCACCTAATAGCCCTGACTTCCTCCAAAGTCAGATGCCAGGCCTCTGTGGGCAGCTGGTCTGGTAAGGACCCTAGCCTTGGGGGCCAACACTGACTGCTGGCCAGGACTCCGAGCAGCCCCTAGAGGCCCAAACCCTGTCCTGACAGCAGCTCCTATTGGTTCCCTCAAAAGCTGAGCTGGGAAGTCAAGGACAGGGGTGCCACTGGGTGGGAGACAGGGCCGCGCATGACCAGGTGGGAACTGTGTCAGATCAGACAGCAGATGGGTCCACACAGGAAGCTAAGAGCATCCCAAGCTGGCCACATCCAGATCAAGAATGCCCAATCACAACCTCTCCCCAAATCTGGTCCTCCCCATTCCTCCAAAAGTAGCATTTTCCAAAAATCCAGGCATTGTCCCCATTCTCTGCCCGTCCACATCTCTTAGCAGCCCAACCTCCACAAGGCACCAAACCCTGGCCACCTCCAGCCTCCATCCCTGGTCACTATTCACCTCCCTAAAGCCTCCTTGCAACTGGCTGGTCACCTGCTTCTGTCCCCATCTACCAGACAGTCTCCGGCCAGCAATCGACACTCATTTTGTCAAATGTTTATTTTGAAATAATTTCTTACTCAGAGAAAAGTTTGAAATAGTGCAACACATTGCCATATGACCTTCCCCAGGCCCGGCAATTGTGAGCTGCTTTTTCACCCTGTGTTATTTGATGTCATTGGATGTATCATTACCTCCCATGTAGCACATAAATTACACTGCTTTTTCTCTTCCCGAGCCATTCCCGAGTAAGGTGTAAACATCGCGCCCGTCCCCTGCCCTTACACATTGCAGTGTTCCTACTTCCTAAAAGCAAGGGCACTCTCTTACATAACCACAATACAGTTATCAACTTCATGAAACATAATATTGACTTGACACTATCAGCTAATCTACAGTCCATATTCCAATTTCGCCAATTGCCCCAATGATGTCCTTTAGAGCTCCAAGATCCCTGCTCCAAGATCCAATTGAGGGCCACACATGGCCTTCAAGCTGTCACTTTTTTTTTTTTAGTCTCTTTTAATCAGGAACAGTTCTTGGCCTTCCTTTGCCTTGCATGCCACTGACATTTTTTAAGAGTCCAGACCAGTTCTGTAAAATGTCCCTCAATTTGAGTCACTCCCTCCATTTAAAACCCTCCACTGCCTTTTCATTCCTCAGTTTCAAACTCCAAGACCTCATTACAGGTCCCACCCTCCTCCTATCGCCTTCCTTTCCCATCCCAGCTCCCTCCCGCCCGCCCGGCCACTCGCAGACTCAAAGCCCCTCACCACTCAGGCCAAAAGAGACCCTCAGCATTCTGTCCATCACAGCCTGTACTTCTACCTAAAATGATTTCATTCCCTGATTTGCGGGTTTATTGCCTGGCCCCCATAATAGGATGGGAGCTCCAAAGAAAGCAAAGATTTTTGTCTGTTTGGTCACTGCCGGATCCCCAGGCCCAGAGCAGTGCCTGGCGAGCAGGAGGCACTTGGAAATCATTTGCTGAGTAAATGAACAGTCAGGAGAGAAAGTGCTGGGGGATAAAGAGCCAGGGGGTCTGGAGGCCCTTCAAGATTCCAGACCCTCCCCCAGGCCTCCCTATGCCTCTGACCAGAGGAAGAAGCACCCAGCAAATCTCCCTTATCTTTGGGACCACATCACTCCACCGCCAGCCCACTGATTAATCTTTTTAAATCAATCCCAGTAGGCTGACAGGCTGGATTCCACAGATAGAGCTGATGGACCCTGGAGAAAGCTGTGACCCCCAATGTGCATCGAGGCCTCCCATCCTGATCCTTGGTTCCCACCCCTCATTCACATATCCTCCAGAGTGTGGGGGCAGGTAGAATCAACATCCAAGTACAAAATCCTGCTAATGGCTCTTTAATTGCAACTGAGGAGGGCTGAGTCCTGGCCTCCCAACTCCTGAGCAGAGGCAAGCCTTCTAGGTGCTTGTCATTTACTTGTCTATTTCACCAGTGGCTGTGAACATTTAAGGCCCTCATATATATCAATACTCAAGGTTATGGGAAAGCTAAACCACCACCCTTTATTCCAAACCCCATTTATTCTTGATTTCACCTCCTCTTCTTCACAGGCAAGAACCAAATTCATCCACCTCCTAGAACCATGATGCAGAAGGCAGCTAGTCCTCCTGCAGACCCTCCCTCACAGCAACCTTTTGGTTACTACCTGTCTGGATGGGGTCCCAGCATCCCCGCCCCCCCAGCGAGGGTCCCCTCCCACCCTGAGCTCTCCCAGGGCAGCTCCCTCTGCCTAGGAGGGTTCCGGAGGATCAACAGGACCCCGCCCACGCTGGAGTCCAGAGGTAACAGGGATGGCCTCTTCCTCCCTCACTGTGTGACCCGGGGCAAATAGCTCAGCCTCTCCGGACTTCCCAGTACAAAAATAAACAAAGATGGGGCTGATAACGCTGGCCAGACCCAAGAAGCTGACAGCCAAGAAGGCGAGGGCGTTGAAAGAGAAATTTTAGCACCTGCACCCCATAAAAAAGGGGGGAGGGGTGCTGGGTTGAGGGATTTGTAATCCAGCCCCACCCAAGCAGTGAATGGGGAGCAGCTCCCCACCTCCTAGCTAATGGGATTAGTTAGCACAGGGCTCTACTCTTGGGCGTTGGCCTGGGGCTGAGGTCTCTGTGAGGCCACTCAAGGTGGGGCAGCAAGGGGCAGTCAGCCCCCCACCCTTCCCACCCAACGAGCACAGGGCTGAGGGATGGCTTTGGCGGCTTTTCCCCTGCAGCGTTTCCCGAGCCCGCCTGCAATTTCCTCCATGACCTCAGCCGCCGAGCACGCAGAAGTTAGGCAGCTCCTAATGCAGGGGCAGGAGGCGCCAAGACAGGCCTCTGCGGCCACCTCCGGCTGCACTTCCTCGTCCCGCCGCCCCCGGTCAAGTAGCTTTCCCGCTTCCCGCCTCAGCCTCCCCATCTACCTAATGGGCGTTGGGCAGTTGACTGCTGCGGTTAGGTCAGGCGCGGCCCTGGCACGATGCGCGCACGCACAGGCGCCCCAAGAGTAGCGACTTTTTACCGCTTTGGATTAGGGCTCTCGGCCTCTGCCAGCCCGACTCAGATCGGAGACGGGAATCCGCGGGGCCTCTCCCTGACTCAGAAGGCGAGCGAAGGCCCTACCAGCCAGGAAGACCCCGGGTCCGATTCCCAGGACGCTGACCCCCTGCCCACCACCGCGGGCTGGAAAGAGAGACCGGATGAGCTCAGAAGACACGCAGACAAAAAATTACCGCGGCCTCTGGGGGCGCACAAAAGGGGACAGACGTCCCAAGCGGCCTTTTGTACCCCGGGGCCGCCCCCAACCCATCCTCTAGGCTCCGGCGCTCTTCTTACGCCGTCCTCCGGGCCCCCCGGGGCGGAACGCGGGCCCCCAGCTCCCGGGAGACACGCGCGCCCCGGTTCTCGCACCCCCGCCGGCGGGGATCTCTGCGCTCCCAGCCCCTGCGCGGCCCCTCCCCCGCCCAGCGCCTCACAAAGGCCCTTTGTCTCGCCGAGTCCCGGGACTCTGGTTCCTGAAAAGTTCCAGGAGAAAAACCGAAGAGATAGGCCAAAACGGCGAGCGCAGCAGAGTGGGCAGGGTCGGTGGGACAGGGCCAAGGCGGCGCAACGGCCAAAGGTGTCCCCTCCAAGACCCCAAGGCCGAGGGGAGCGTCGGGGGCTACGAGAAATTACGAGAGCCCTAGACTACTACGGAGTGGGAGAGGTGGGTTCTCTAAAAGTCGAGGCATGAGACGCCAGGCACAAACTGGAGGCAACCGGGGAGGAGGGACCGGATCTCTGGAGGGCCCCGCGTCTCCCTTCCCACCGCTCCCTCCTGGAGCGGCCGCGGCTCGCCGGGACAAGCTGCTTCCTGCCGGTCACTGTCCCAACCGAACCTAGGCAGCCCCTCTCGGGAAATGGCGAAGGCCGCTGGGCCTTCTCCGCCAACTCCTCCCGCGCGCGGTTGGATACCAGGCGCAAGATTTAGCCAACGCCGCTCCAGCCCGGCCGATCCGCGCTCTCGCCGCTTCTATCCCCCAGCTTCAGGGCGGCGGGGCCCAGTGTCTGCGTCTCCATCGCGCCGCGCGCCTGCCTTCCCTTCAGCGTACAAAGGGTCCCCGGGGTCGGGGTCGCTGCTCTCCTACCACGGTGTGGGTTCCGAGGCCAATGTTCTCCCGGAGGACGAGGGTTCCCGAGAGCTGCCCGACCCCCGCCCATCGGAGGCCAAGGTCCTGGTACTGGGGTTCCCGTCCTCCCCACACCCCCAGGCACTCGGGGCTGGCTGGAGACCCTGCACCGGGCGAGTGGAGAAGCTAGAAACCAAACTGGGGCCCACTCGCGCCGGCAAAGCCATTAGCCAAGAATAGATTCGCGCTCCGGGAATGGATGTCTCAAAGGGTGTAGGGCTGGTTTCTTTTCTCGCCCAGGTTTTGAAAGCGCCAGCCTAGCCTCAGCCACAGGGGATAGGGGGTTGGAGTCGCCCCTGACGGCTCCAATTTCCTCAGACGGGTGAGAACCCGGCGAGCCGGGGGAGGCAGCCGAGCAGCGCGCCCCTCTCCGCGGGCACCTCCCGACCGGCCTCAGCTCCGGGCCCCGGGGTCTCCCCGCCCCGAGAGCCGAGACTGCTCGCAACCCCGTGAACAGGCCGAGAGGGAGGCGCCGCGCCATCGTCGCGAACGCTCGGGAACAAACCCAGAATTATTTCCGGGGCCTCCCTCCCTTGGACATGGGGTTGGGTGGGGGCAAGCGGGGGTTGGCAAGACGCAGAGCACTTACCCGGGTGCGGGTGGAGGTTGAGGCCGGCCATGTACTTCCCAGGCGGCAGCGGGCCCGGTAAGCCCGAAGCGGGCAAGCGTCCGGCCGTGGCCGCGCCCACGCGGTGGCTGTCCATCGCCAGGCCGGACAGCAGCGGCGGCGGGGGGCCGTGCACAGACCGCGGAGGCCCGAAGTCTCGGCCATCCATCCTCCGCGGGAGTGCCGCGGCCAGCCCCCCACCCGGCCCGCCGGCCTCGCTCAGCGGGACCTAAAAGTTCGGCCTCAGCGTAGTCCCAGAGTCCTCGGGCGGCGGGGGCTCCGCGGCGTGCATGGCGGCGGCGGCCAGCGGGGCTTGCGCTGGGCAGCGGGCCCGCGGCCCAGGACGCACAGGCGGCCGGCGGTGGGGCCCCTCCCGGCGACCAGGTAGAGCTGAGCGAGGCGGCGCACACGGCGTCTTCGCGGGGAGAGGAGAACGGCCGCGGAAGAAACAGAAGGGAGAAAAGGAAAAAGGGGAAGAAAAAAAACAAACAAGTTTCAGAAAGTCGTCTTGCCGTTCGGTGTCAGGGGCTGCCGATGTGGTGGCCAGAAATGAAATCGGGAAGAGCCCCTTTTCCATAAAAAGTAAAAATCCATGTTCCTTCCTCCGGTGGCTTCAGGCTCCCGGGCCCGGGCTCGGAAAGTGACGGGTAGCCCGCTGCGCCCCAGCCCGGACTCTGCCTCCGCCGCTCACGGGTCCTCCCGGACCGGGGAAGGCCCCTCGGCCGCGCCCGGACGGCGCAAATACAAACCTTCGAAGTGTGTTTGATTCCTGGGCGTCACATGCTCCAGGGTTTCAAACAGTGAAACCTTTCCAAGAGCAGTTCGAAATGTCTCTCTAAACACCGTGTCACTATCTGACCCGGAAAGTTTAATATTTAATCTTTAGCGGCCCTCGCCTGTTTTCTGAGTTTGGTTTCCCAGAGATCGTCCCGAGCCGCCCAACTCACGTGTTTTTTTTTTTCGGGAGAAAGGGTGCAAAGCGGCTTTATTATTTTTAAAGAGACTCGCCGCCCCCCCTCGGGCCACTGTGAGTCGCTGAGTCCGAGTCCGAGCCGAGGACCCGAGACGTGGCATTCTCGCCCGAGAACTGAAAAGAATCCTTCCAAACAAGCTTTGGTTTCATTTTCCAACGCCCGGGCCTGGGAATCCTCCGGCCCGAGGACGTGGCCTGGCGCGGGTATTTGAGGGGCGTCAGAGGGGAAGGAAAGGGCTCAAGGGTCTCGCTCCTACCCTACCTTCCCTCCCACACCCCAAAAATAACCTACAAAGAAAATCCTCGCACCGCGCGGGCAGACCGAGGGGCGCCTCCCCCAGCACTGGGAAAATCCCCCTGTAGTTCCAGTTTAAAGCTGTTTGTTTAAAAGATTTGTGTTGGCCGAGTCCCGTGGGGGCGGGAGAGGGTCTTGGAGCCAACCCCTGCCCTCGCTCTCCGTCTGCCCGCAGCAGCTTGGATTCCTGATTTCGGAGGCCGGAGCGCTCCTAGAGCCGCGGCGAACGCCAAAACCGCCGGCTCCCGGGTGCCCGCCCTGCGTCCCGCGCCGCGAGGTGCAGACCCCTCGGCCGCCAACCCCCCGGCCTCCTTTTCCAGCCTCCCTCCACAACTTTGCTAAAGGTGCTTATTTTAACCCGGTTTTGGTTACAACCACCTCCTCCTCCTCCCTCCCGTCCAGCTCTGGTTACCAGATCCGCGTTTACTTTGGAAAAATCTTAAGATCGCCACATCCGAGGATACATGTCTTAAGCAGGCGATGAGCTTTCCGTGATTTTTTAAAAAATGTTCTTTCTTTTAAAAGCCAGCGCTTCAGGGCATGCCCCGGCGCCCCACTTTGGAGAAGTCGGGGTGAAGCCCCCCGGAACACCCTGGCTCTGGTAGAGAAGCTGGCTCAGCCATCTGCGGGCTCCGCTGCGTTCTCCCTACTTTTCTCCCCCTTTTAAATGCAGTTAAAATGGCTGAATTCCGGCTTTTAATTAAAAACAGCCTATAATCGAAAGCGTTTCGGTGTCCCTGGCTCCCCCGCCGCCTGCCGGGAACCGAGAAGGGAACAGACACCCCTCGGCCCGGCTGGGCAGACTGGATAGGGGCTGGGGGCTCAGGTGGGCGCTCGGGGAGCAGCGGCTCGCCCCCACCCTTCCCAGGGCGCCCCCACCTCGCTGGCCCTTGTCCCCGATTCCATTCTCGGGGGGCTGCAGATCTGTGGGGATCCCCCGGAGCACCCCGAAGGGGAGGTGGGGGTCAGCTGGAGAAGTTTGGAGACCATCGCGCCTGGCCAGGGGCGGGCGGGCGACCCAGCGGCGTACCTGGCGCGGCGGGGCTCCCGGCTCCGAGCTCTGGCGACGGCGACTCCGGTGGCGGCCCCGGCTCCCGGCGCGGCTAGGCGCCCTTGCAGCCCGCCATCCCGTGGCCGCTGCTCCCCTTCGCCACCCGCAGCCTCCTCACACTTTTTGCCCGCCTTTCCTTTTTTTGGTAGAAAACCGCTCCCCGGGCCGAGCGCTTGGCGCGCCAACTCCTCCGCCCTCCCGCTGCCGGGTTCCCGCAGCCCCCGGAAAAGCCAGCTTTCCTCCTGCCGAGCTCCCCGCTTTTTAATAAAATCCAGGTAGCGCCGGTTTAAAGAATCCCAAATCTCCATATACAGCCCGGGATTGGAAAAGGTACATTACACAACCCCCCTTTCAAGTTCCTCTCGTTGGATCTAAAAAAAAAAAAAAAAAAAACCAGCGGGGGGGAGGGAGCGGCTGGGGGAGGGGAGCACTCTCCGCCGAAGAAACACGCATTGTTCCCGGGTGCCCGCCTCCCCCCCCCAGGCCGGCCCCCAGCTACCACCCATTGGCCGCGCGCGCCGCCAATCCCGCTCATGTAAACACCTTGGCCCTCAGCCATTCCTATAAAACCAATTACGGACCAAGGGGCTCCAGCAGTTTCCAGGCTCCCCTCGGCGGGGCTGAATGATCAAAACTGGTGGTGAGAATTTTTCCGGGCCGTTTCTAGGCAGCCCTCCCCCTCCACCAGCTCAGACCCCCCCTTCCTCCTTCTCCTCCCTTTTCCTCCCCCTCTCCCCCCCAGCGTCTGGGCTGAGTGATCAAAATAGAGGAAGATGGTTGTCGCCGCAATCCAGGGCTTTGCAAGGCGCGGTTTAATGGGCTGCCTGTCAGCTTCCTGCTCGCAAGAGAAGGTGACAAGCCGAGCGAGCCGGGAAGGGCCTGGGGCCCCGGGGGCTGCACCCCGCGCCTGGCCCCGGCCCCCAACCTCCCCTGAGGCGCGCCTTCTAGAACGCGCGGTGGCGACTCCAAAACAGACAAGGGCTGCTTTTTCCTTCCCCCCCCCCGCTCCCCGCTTTTAAAACAAAGCAGCGATTCATTCCCTCTCCCCCAGCAGCGCGGTTGGGTAGGATGGGCAGGCGAGAAGGCCGTTTTCCTAGCCTCGGCCTGCAGGTCCCTCCCTGAAATGCGGTGTCAGGTGGTTACTGATTAATATTTTGGAGAGGCCGCGGCGGCGGGCAGCGGGTGAGTCTCTAATCTTTTAAAAGGGGTTCCTATAGAAACGCGGGCTGGGGCGCGCCCCCCGCTCAGCCCCGGCCGGAGCTGCGGCGGCTTTGCACCGCGCGCTCCTCCCCAAAGCCTCTCTTTGCGTGGGCGCTCTCCACCCCTTCCCTCCACCCACCCCCCCCAAAAAAAAGCAGAAAAAAGGATTAGATCGGCTGAGCGCGAACTGATTCCCTCTCGATTCTGACATTTCAGCCTATTAGCATTTCTCCACGGGGCCTTCTGAAACCTATTAAAGTGTAATATTAAAAAACCTCTTGGCTGGGGGCCTCTCTCGCCTACCATCCGCCGCGCCCCCCTCCAGGGAGGGCGAGACCGGGGGGGGGGGGAATCTGTTGAGCTCAGAGGAAGCAGCAGCCAAGCCCAAAAAGTGCTTGGCTGGCCGTGGTGGCCGGAGGGGGAGGGAAGACTCAATCCCCCAGACTTCGTACTTTTATTTTGCGCTTTCAGCAAAATCCTTTCTGGATTGAGTCGCCGGGAGCAGCCCGCGGCAACGTACTTGGCTGCGGGCGCGAGGAGTGCGGACTCAGTCGAAGGGGCCGCCCGGGGGGGGGGGCGCACCCTCTCTCCGCAGCCCCGCAGGGACCCATGTCCGGCTGGGCATTACGTACCCTCTAAAGGAAGCTTAGAAGGGCAAAAATCCTTCCTGATCCAGCCTGGGAGAGCCACCGCGGTGATTGGATTTTAATTAAAACAAGAGGAGCCCGCTCTTTCGCCCTGCGCTGCAGACTCAGCGTTTTCGCAAAGCTGTATTTCTTTAAATCCATTTTTTTAAGGCAACTTTTCAGGAGGGGTTAAAAATGAGTTGGCGCCCCATTTGTTCTATTTTATTTTATCCACTTTTAGAAAAAAAGGGGGGGTAAGCTTGGAGAGCGAACTGGGGGTGTCTAATTTAATTCCAGTATAAATTTGAGGAAAAAAAGTTCAGCCTCTTGAGGGCAGTTTCAAGTTGCCCTTGCAGAAGCCTCCAGCGTTGGTTTCTAGGCTGCCCTCTTTTGGAAGCTGGAGATCCGCTGGGGGAGGAGGGAGGAGTGAGAAGGAAAGAAAGGAACGAAAATAGCCGGATCCGAGGGGCACTAGCGGCGGTGTCGATGCTTGCAGCAGGGCGCTCAAGTCTCAGTGGCGGCCGGGGCGGCGGGAGGCTCCCGGTGCAGCCCGGGACAGCCAGGAGCAAAGACGGAGAGGAGAGGGGGGTTGGAGAAAGGTATTGTGCCTGTGTGCCTTGGGGGAGGGGGTGACTAATGACATAAAATAAACGCAAGTTGAGCTGCGGTGGGCTGCTGGAGGCCAAGGCAAGGGAAGGGGCCGTACGTGGGGGCGCAGCCCCGGTGGGCGCCGAGCGTCCTCTTGTCTTATCCAGAGGCCTTTGTGGATTCCTAGTAAACCCTCCCACGCCCGGGCCCCCATCGCTTTCCCACCCCTCTGGTTGCCCTCCAATATTCCGAGCCAGACCCTGATCCCCCCACCCCGTTATCCCCGCCCTAGATCTGGAATGTTTTTCTTTATTTTAATATAGCTCAAGGAAAAAAAAAAACTATCTTGAGAGAGCTAGGGTGGGGAATACAAAGGGCTTGCTGGGTGGAAAATAACAAAAGCCTATTTTTATAAATGTTTAATGTTTTCACCCCTGGATGCTCCAAGACGCCGTAATTGTGACGGCGGGGTATGTGTGCCATAAATCATTTAGTTGCTAATAAAAATTCTGCCTGTTTGCCCTGGATTTGCCAATGGCGTTTGCATTTCCAAGTGTGCGCTTCGTCAGCGTGGCGAACCGAGCCTGCATCTCATTAGGGCCGCAGTTGGTGCAGGCGAGGCCCGCATCCCTGGGCCAGCCGCCCCCCGGTCTGTGTGGGCCCCAGCCCCCTTGCGCCGCCCTCCCTGCGCGCACACCCGCACCGGGAGCGCAGGGCTTGGGGACGCGGAGGCGGTGGCTCCCGGTTCCCAGCCGCGGGGCGGGACAGCAGGACAGACCCCGGCCGTGCCGGTTCTCCGAGCTGCTGCGTGCCGGCCGCCCTGTGCTCGCGCTGATCTTTGTCCCCTCCCCAGCCCCGCGCCCTGGTGGCCCCGCAATCTCTGAGTAAACAGCGGCTGGGAGCCATCTTAGGGCGGAGGACGGATCCCAAGCCGAGTGGTAGGCGCAGCCCGGGCTCCTTCGCAGACCCTCGCCATGTGTAGGGGCTTCTGGGCACCCCTCGCCCGGCTTTGGGCTCCGGGCATGCCTTCACCGCTCTGGTGGGCCACACGGAAATGTGAAAACCAGGCCTGGGCGCCCAGAAGGGAGCGGGTGACAGCCGCAGTCCAGCCGCCATCTTCCGTCCCCTCCCCCGCCACACATACTTCTGTCTACCCGGCGGGAGCCGCGGCCAAAAAGAGTGTTGACGCAGAGTGAGTGAGTGAGTGAGTGAGTGAGTGAGTGTGTGTGTGTGTGTGTGTGTGTGTGTGTTGTACTGACTGGGCGGAAAATCGGCTGGAGGGAGGACCTCGAAACCTCAAACCGCAGTTCCCGGAAAACCCGCCCAGGCCAGCGCTGTTGTCCGCGGACAGCCTGGGCCTCCAGGGCCGAGGCCTTTTGTATGTTCCCAGGCCGCCAGTTCCGGCTCCGTAGCGGCCCGACTGACAAAATTCTTCCCCTTGGTTTTAAAACCAAAGGCCAGGGCAAGCTAGAGTCCAGCTCTCCCAGGCTGCGCCTTTGTCCGGCTGGCTCAGCCCCCCTATTCAGGGACAAACCCGGCGCTTCCCGGAACCCTGGGGACTGCTGGCCAGATGGACACAATTTTCCCTAACCCCTTGCCCAGAAAAACAAAACAAAACCAAAAAAACGCACCCTTTACTAGGCATGGACACCCGAGCCATTTCTACCCGTCGCCCGGAGCCGCCTTTCCCGGTGGGGACCGACGTCCCCGCGCTCCGCCAGGCTCTTTAGTGCAGGTACCGAGCATTCGCCGGCCACTGCTGCCCGCTGGAGAAGCTCTAGCCAGGTCTTTTACGCGCCAGTGTCCAGTTCCCAGGCCCCGCAACCAGGGAGCTCCCGGCACGGGCGCCGCTAAAACCTGGAGAGGCCGCGCCCGGGAAAGCCAAGCTTGCCATCCCCGTGCTGGGACTGGCCCAGCCAGGATTCGGTGCTAAGCCAAGGTTCGGCCAGCCCAGCCGAGAGCAACCCGACCCACCAGAAAGACCATGGACGCGGCGCCAGAGCCCCGCACGCCGTCAGGACCAAGGCGCACCGCGGGCAGAGCCGGAGCTGAAGCTCCAAGCCGGGCCCCGGCGGATCCCAGTGCCTCTCGGCTCCGCCTCCGGCACTGGCTTCTTCCCCGGCCCGGGTCGGGTCTTCCACTCCACTGTTTGGCTGGTAGAGGACGGAGACGCGCTCGGTGCGCAGGGGGCCGGCTGTGGCCATAAATCTCCGCTCAGGCCCTCCTTCTCGCAGCTCAGGCGCGAGGGCTCTCGGGTG